TTCGTAGGGCAGATCTTTTGTAACTCTAATTAGTCCCTCTATTCCACCTTTAACGGGCAGGTCTTGTGCACCACTAATCAGCCCCCTTTCATTTCTCTTAGCGACAGATCTTAAGCACTAGCTGCTAATAAATCTGTTTTCGTATCTCTTAGGGTCAGATCTTGAGTACCAAGGTACCTCTGGTAAGCTCCCGTTTTCTGTCTTCTTAGAGACAGATTTGAGCACCTCTAATCAGCCACTTTCGTATTTCTTAGGGACAGATTTTGTGCACCACTAATTAATTATTGCGTAATTTTGCAATTCTGAGACCAAATAAAATTACTCACTTTAAATTTATTTATATGGTGCTGAAATCAATGTAAAACCTCTAGATCAACCTTCCACTTGCAATTTATTGTTCTTGCGACTTTAAAAAATAGGAGCCATTTCGCGATAATAAGTACTTGCAAAAAATAAGTAATCTACAGTATATGGTATTATTGTGTTTTTGTTTTACACAAAGATCAGGAATAGTATTTTGTATTTCAAATTCCTTTCTGTATTAAGCAATAAATTGAGTTTACTACTGGAATATACAACATAGCCAGTGACAAGGGGTTTTGGTGTTTGATGACTGATAAGAAGAAGCTGCCAGGTTGATTAGTATGCTGCACAGAGAAATGGTGAACTTTATCTGAATTTTGCCTGATATCTCCATCATGTTTGCAGAGATAATGCTTCTTTCAATTTCCTTTATATGCCGTTATTTACACTTCATCTTGATAAATGTCATAATACCAGTCAATTCCTGAATAAGCATGTACCATCTGAAGTAATCTGGGAAGAATGAGCCAGTATTATCAAAAACAATCCTATGCTTAAGGAATACTGACAATTAGATATTTAAACATACTGTATTATTATGGTATACTGGTAACTGATATCATTTTAGAAAAAAAAAAGTTTTCAGAGGATTTATTGATAAATGAAAAGATACATTTAAAGGTATACCATAATGCACAAAAAATTGTATCAAGGTACAAATACTGAATCTCTGATCAGGCTATAATGTCATAAGTAGAATTCTAAATTGTCAATTTCTAATGCTAAACTTTTGGTCAGGCTATAATGTTACAAGTATAAATTGTCACCCTTCTAATACTGAATCTTTGGTCAGGCTATAATGTTACAAGTAGAATTCTAAAATGTCACCTTACCAATGCTAAACCTTTGGTTAGGTTATCATGTTACAACTTATAGAACTTGTTCTTTCTGTGGTCTTTTAAATCTGGTCTTTTTTTGACTAATCTTATAACATTCAACAAGAGCAAAATTAAAGGTTTCCATCAACTTTTTTGAATCAAAGACATTGAAGTACACTTGATGCTGTGCAGAAAGTAGTGGTGTTTATTTTTCAGTGTATACAGATTAATTTAGCAGGTATTTAATGAAGACTTTAACTGTATGACTCTTTATTTGCTGTGTAATTTCTCTTGTTTGGTCTTTGTAGAATTTCTGGCAAAGTGCAATATGAATTTGAAATTGGTCCTATCAGAGCATGGTTGATTGAAGCTTAATTACACTCTTATAGAACGAGCTTTGTATAAAGTCCTGCTCCCTGCAATCAATGGAGGGAGCATTGATCTCAGAAGAGCCTTCACAAAGTAAATAGTTTGCAATGGAAATATATTGGAAATTAATTAGACTTTTTCCAACTGTGACCTGGCAACTCCAGGTTATAAATACTCTAGGGACCTTGACAATTAACTTGATTGTGAGTGTTACGAATATTGAATTTTTACAAAAGTCTATTTACTTGGTGAGCAGATTTTGTGATTGTCCTTAAGTCTAGATTCATTAACAACCTTATATATTACTTTTTTTGGTAAAATAAATAAAATCTGGGTATAGATAGGTACTTATATCTAAAGACAATACATGTATCCTAATTCTGAATAGGACAAAGCAAGATAAAGAGATGTCCTAACCTTTTTCTTGCTTTATTGTGTGGTTTGCCAATATTAATGATTTGTTGATATTAGACTTAGATGATGAATGGTAGTTTTTTTTGTTTGGATAGTAATTAAACCTTGAGTGTTTTGTCAGTGAAAATGTGATCATTGTGATTTAAGGCCTAGTATTTATTTTTCTTGTTGTTTAGCGATGATGGTAAGTCCTCCAGGAGCAAGACAGACTTATTAAGCATTCTTTGAAAATGCACTGCAGCATTATCAATCACTAGATTCCTGTCTCTTTGATGATTTTGCTGTTTTTCATAAAAACAAGCCAACAGGTGAATGTATGGATTAGTTGATAAATTGAATTGGATGCAGAGAAACTAATATTGTTAAGGAAACTTTGATCATGTTTGTGAAGGCATGATAATGTGATAGTCAGAGAGATGGGTTTTCAGAATACCAGAAGTATGAGTGTGTCTGGCATTTCTGTAGGAATTCTGATACTGGCCGGTGCTCTTTGTGAAAATAAAGCTGTACAGAATAGTTGTAGTAGTAGTCAAACTTGTAAAACTAACATTTGTACAATTTATACCCTTCCATAGAATGTCTCTGCATGGAACCAAAGTTGATGGTACCATTGAAATGCACTGACACGAACTGAAAATATTTAGTTACTAGTACACTGTAAATGAGTTTGATGCAGAAATTCTACATTCACTTGTGAAGAAAATCTCTTGGGGACAAGCTTTGGAAACATGGATGTTTGCCAGGGTTATACCAGCTGATCCAGTGTGACAGAGAAATCAGGACCATATCAATGTGTCTCAGATTTACTTAAAAAATTGGAATATCATAATGCCATTTTCAATATAAACACACTGAAGCTAAAATTGGAATTGAGTATATATTTCAATATACCATTTACAAGCTAACCAATAAACATGTAAAACAGCACATCATACGGTTCCCTGGGCAGAGGCAGGAGATGTGGTTTGTCTGTATTTAGGAGAGTGGTACATCACAATCATTCTCAATGTTTCCCAAAGGATGGCTGCATAACGTCAGGACAGCTAGGCTTCAGACAAGTAGTGGACGCCTCTGATTCTAACTACTGCATCTAGCTTTTTATTAGAACTCTCTTGTCTCATTAATTAGACCCTGTGGTTTGTGGTTATTGGTTTGGGGTACTAGCCATGTTTTTCATTTTGCGTAAAGGCTAGTATCATTGTGTATTGATGAAAATAGTTTCTGCGGGCAGTAGGCATTTATATTTATGCAATGTTTTCTTTTTTTCCCAATCCTGTTGCCTCAAAATGTTATTCACTTTAAAAAAAAATAAAAGAAGAACAACAATGATCAATACAAGCTTTTTCTCAGGGGATCTGGGAAGTTTAAGTTGTTTACAGTTGAACAATTATTTGCTGTATCTGAGAAGAGAACCTCTTCAGAGTGAATATGGGAGATGTAATGTGTAAATCAAAGGATCAGAATTAATTAAGACCCCATTCTTCATTTCTCTACATTGTATACACCACTGATAAGTACAGAATTAAGAATTAATGATAATTGTCAGGATTTGCTGTTGTCAGAATAGAACACATATTGATTCTAATAGAATTTCCCAAACCATCCAGAGAGAGATATGTAGTCATACAGAATGTATTATAGATTTTTTTTAAGTTGGCATGCAACACCTTGTGAAGGTGGGCTTAATATACTAAAGTATTGCATGGCATTTAGGATGCCTATTGTGTTATGTGTAATATGACATACAAGTAACCTTTCAGTGACATAACACTGTGATACCGACTCACAAAGATTGAGTTTTGTTAAAAGTTTTTTCCCTGACTGACGTAAGACTTGTAGCATGAGAATCAAGTTTTCTGTTTCTCATTGGGACAAAGTCACATTTATTGATCATAGCATTCTTTTTGAGCAGCAAACAAATAGAGGAGCTCTTTTTTCCTGATATATCTTCAATAGAGGTATGTACAAAATTGGCCCTCACATCTGTACACCATTAAGGGCTAGGTACTCAGTCTAGGATGAAAAACAGATGTGTATTATCTACTGCTGAAGACAGACTTGATGATGTTGTCAAGAGATCCAGCTTTTGACACATAAAACTATTATCAGACAGTCTACCAGAAAATACTAGCATAAAGTTGGGTTTGATTATTGGCAAGTTCAGAATCTATTTGGAAAAGTAATAAATTAAAGTCACAAACAATAAATTAAAGTCACCACCAATGTTTTTTGTATGGTTTGCCAGGCTAGTTATATTGGTATGAACATGATGAGGTCCCTGTTTTTGTATCTTCCGTAGACATTTACTTACCTTTTTGTAAATGGATTCAGACAATGGACTTGGTCTGACAGTGGGTAGATGTAATAAAAAAGAACTTGTGCATCAAGAGAACATGTTTTATTGTTGGTGTACCATAGAGTAATTATGAAGAATAAAAGATTTCTTTTGCATGTGAACTATAAAGCTGAGAATTTCATGCTTTTACCTGTGAAGATGTGCTATAATCCTTCTGCTGTAAGGCAACTTTGTTATTTTGCTTTCTTTTGTAACAAACAATGCAATATATTTTTTGCTGACTTGTAAGTACATGCAGGTACTGTGTAAAATTGCAATGTATTCAATGTCACATGAAATGGATACTTATAGTATACAAATAAAATCGCTAAATCCTGCTGAATGAAGAAAAAGCCTATTTAAGTCCACTGACTTAAATAAGAGAACCGCAAAGTGGAGCATCCCCTCGAAATTAGCATATATATAAATCAAGGCAGTATTAGATCCCTATGGAAATTATGTTGTCACTTCCAGCACAAGGACAAACTAACACACACACACACACACACACAAGCATTTTACTATATCCCCTCCAGCTCCGTTGTGAGGGGATAATAATACATGTACTGCATTCTCCTGAGCAACTTCCCCCATTATAAGAACCCCACCCATTTAATCTTAAAAAAAATATTTAGATAGATTTGATATAGAAACTGTAATTAGTAAAGACTTGTTTTAAAAAAATGTCTTCTTTTCTTCAGAAAGACCATTTTGCTAAAGATTTATGATGATGAAGAATATGAAAAGAATGAGGCTTTCCAGATTCATTTGGATGAACCAACTATTGTTCGGAGAGGGTCAGGTAACTGTTTATTAGTTTTTTTTTTTATCTGATAACTAGTCTATTATTGTTCATCGCATAATATCAGTAATTTATGTCAGAATTCCAAGTAATGAGTGATAATTGGTAGAAATTTTACCCTGTGTAACTTATTTGATGTGCATTTCATTTAACTCATATACAGATATGTAATGCAAGGAAATTTTTTTTTGGTTGAAATTGCGAAGATATAGAAGTATATTATTTTTTTGTTTTTTCCGAAATAAAAAGTTTATTTAAGAATGTGGCCTGATGTAAGGAAATAAAATATATTTATGCTATTCTGAGAAACCTTTCATATTGCCACATTTGGTCTCTTAATTGATATAAAAATCGAAACAGTTAGTTACATCTGAAAATGGGTAAGTCCAAAAAGGTACAAAAAAGTTATACAGTAAAATGACAAAGTCCAGAAAAGTTATCTTTTAGTTACACCAGAAAATGGCTAAGTTCAAAAGGTACAAAAAAGTTATACAGTAAAATGACAAAGTCCAGAAAAGTTATATTTTAGTTACATCTAAAAATGGCTAAGTCCATTTTAGGTACAGAAAAGTTATAACTAAAATGTAACTTTTTCATGAGGTTAAAAAAAGTTACAGAAAAGTTATAACTTAGTTATAACTTATTTCGGTATGGGCAGATATAATTGTGATAGTTTGTAAATAAGGGCTTTAGAGGATACATGTTTTACAGACATGTTTTTTTTCCCACTTTAAAGCAGAATTCTGCAATTTAAATTTGTTTTCGTGTTTTAAAACCCCTGTCACACGGGGAATGCGTCCTCACGGCGATTGCACGGCGTCCATAAAAAATGCAAAACGCCGAGGTGAGTGCAGTAGAGTCTCCTACAGCGCCGTGACAACGCGGCGAGATCTCCACTGAACGCGGTAGGGTCGATTAGGGTCTCCTAGAACGCCAGGGGACGGCGCGCACTTTGGGCATGCACAAAGTACGCGCCGTGTGATCACCGTCTGATAAGAACGCAGTAGAAACGTAGTATGATCACCGTAGCAGCGCGGTGAGATCTCCAACAACGCAGTGGGAGCTCCGTACGCACGCAGTGAAGACGCACATGATCGCAGCATGAACGCAGTGGTAGTAGACTGCGCTTCCACGGAGACCTCGCGGAGTCCTTGGAGATGTCACGGCGTTTCTATCGCGCTTTTACGGCACTTCTAATGAGATTAATTGTCTTGTGATATTTTTGACTGCGATTACACAGCGACAACAAGAAGTTGTTTCTGCGATCATTGCGCTCCCTTGGCGTCTCTACCGCGTACGTTGGCGATCACAATGCGCTTTCACGGCGTTGTTAGAGCGTTGTCAGCCAGCTCACAAAACAAGAGCAATGGCCTCATATTTGATCAGCAATAATTTTAACGTATTTGTTGCACTCCTGGCCAGGAGCATGGGAGTAGAATTGGGAAGTAAAAATTACACCAGAACCTGTTCTGTTGTTTCAGTGGAGTTGCGATGGAATTACTTATAAATTTTATAACAACTTTTCAGTGTGTTTATTTTTTACATTCTTAATAAAATCAAAGAAAAAACACATCTGAATTGATATAATTGAAAAAAGAAGGGTTTTAATTATAAAACTAACAGTAATTTAGTACTAAATTATTCAAATATATCATTTTTGAAGTCTTTTCGTTATGTGACTCGAATCTTAAAAAAAAAATGTGTTACACTCCATCTGAATATATATCCATAGTGAAGAACGCATCGTGGACGTATTGTGAATGCAGCAAGCGCAGTGAGAATGCCGTGAACGCTAGGTGACAACTCTTAACACGCCGTAAAAGCTCCGCGGAAGTGCAGTCAATGGCGAAGAGATCTCCATTGGGAACGCAGTAACACGCCGTGAGAACGCCGTAGAAACGCGTGGGTCGCCGTAGGGACGCCGTGACATCTTCACATTGTAAAAATTTTACAGAAATTTGTGCGATTTTCCTGCGATTCCACTGCGATTTTAACATTTTTACAACGCCTTAATGACTCCATGTGGACGCAGCTTGGTGTGACAGGGCCTTAAAATATATATCCTTTTTTTTAAAGTCTCTCTGTATTTTCCAATTATACCGTTTTTGTTCAAAAAATCTGCTTTGGGTCCACTTTAACCTACTTCATTGATTCAGTGTGACGTTTATTTTCATTGGTTCTTGCAATTTAAACATATTATTTAACCAATCATTGGAAGATTAACTAGAAGCATCTATCATGGTAATTTTATATGGATGCCAAAATCCTACAAACGTGAATATAAAAAAAATAAAATTGTTAAAGATGTTGTTTGAAGTATTTATTTAGCCATTTATTAGAATTTTATTGGAAATATTGATTGTTGTAACAGATTAGAAAATTCAGAAATTGACAAATTTTGTGACCTTTTTTTTTCTGTGACCTCTGTGAATCTGTGAATTGTTTTAAAATCAATACCCATTTTGAAACAGGAATGACAACAGGTTTTTGATTAGAACTGTTGCATAATTCCAAGAGACCTCGAAAAACAGGGCCAAAAGGGGGTCTTAGCCTATCTAGTCCTTTATGATTTTTGGAACACTTTCAATGAAGTAGTTTGATAAAAAAATTCTAGGAGTCTCATAATTATTTGGAAATGCTGGGTGTGTCTTTTTATTTTCTGGTACTTGTAGTCCTGTGAAGTGTCAGGGATAGAAAAAGTTAAAATTAAATTGACATTTAAGATTAAAGTGAAATATACATTTAAAACAGAACATTTTACAACACACATTATGAACATTACATAGAATTGATACAAATATATTAAAAAGTCTGTAATATATATACTCTTTAAGAGGAATAAAAATTCTTATTGCATTTGAAGTTCATGGTCTCATTTAATAGGCTTCATTGATTTGATTGATGTAAGGCAAAATTATTATTGTACCAAAATTAATATTAGAAGCAAACTTTTTAACAGGATACTTGAAAATTGCAATGGAAACCAATTTTACATAATAGAGAGGAAGATTTTGATCAATATACTGAGACACAGTGGTTTAACCAGTGAATGAATGCAGATATCTTATGATATTATTCCAGTATTGCAGTGTTAATGTTTTGGTGGGATAAGGTTGTTAACACAAATATGTGCTTATTGGAACTGTTGCCAGGGAAATTATCGAAATTTACATAAATCTCTGGTGAATTTGTCCCTATGGGGATGTTCAATATCACTAAAATAGAGACGTAAGTGTCACTCTCCCAATAACTTGAGATTTGAAAGACAGGCCATTAATAAATGTGTGAGGGAATGACTTTTTTAATCCCAGTTTTAGGACACCTTAATATGATACCAGTTAATACTGGAATGTGTACCAAAGCTATAATTTTACAGGAGGAGAACTTTGACATATATATGTATATATTTATATAAATTTTAACATGTATGTCTATTCTGAAACCAACAAACTAGTTTTCGCCAGATGAATGTAAAGGTTTTAGGACAGAAGTTTTGAATGCCAAATCCTATCTCTTTTTATATATATTTAGTTCACCTGAGCTAAAAGCTCAAGTGAGCTTTCTGCTTACATTTTGTCCATAGTCTATCTGTCTGTTCGTCTATAAACTTTCACAGTAAAACTCGTTTAGTATGAACACAGATATTGCGAATTCAGGGATATAACAAAGTTTTCTTGTATCCCCAGCTATATAAATTTAACGAATTCCTTCAACTAATACAGATATAATGAATTACGGATATAGTGAAGTAATTTCACAGGTCCCCAGGACTTCGCTATAACCGAGTTTTACTGTACCATTTTCAACTTCTTCTCCAGAATCACTGGGCCAATTTCAGCCAAACTTGCCACAAAACATCCTTGGGTGAAGGGAATTTAAGTTTGTTCAAATGAAGGGTCACACCCTCTTTCAAGGGAGATAATTAAGAAATTAGTGAAAATGTGGTGGCATTCTTTTAAAAATCTTCGTCTTAAGAACCACTGGGCCATAAAAGTTGAAACTTATATGAAACCTTCTTTACATAGTGTATATTCAGATTGGTTCAAATCATGTCCCCCAGGGGTAGGGTGGGGCCACAATCGGGGATCAAGGTTTTACTTAGGAATATATAGGAAAAAATATTCAAAAGTCATCTTATAAAGAACAGCAATGCTGTCATTAGTCATATTGATGTGGTAGCATCCTCACATAGTGTAGATTCAAGTTTGTTCAAATCATGATCCTGGGAGGTAGGGTGGGGCCACAATGAGGGATCAAAGTTTTACATTGGAATATATAGGAAAAATCTTTAAAAATTCTTCTTCTCAAGAACAGTTAAGCCATGTTTAGTCATATTAATATGGAAGCATCCTCAGGTAGTGCAGGTTCAAATCATGACCCCCCAGGGGCCAAAATGGGGGATCGGAGTTTTACATAGGAATATGTAGGGAAAAATCCTTAAAAATCTTCTCATGAAAAGCAAAATCATTTTTAGTCATACTGAATTGGAAACACATCTTCAGGTAGTGTAGATTCAAGTTTGTTCAAATCATGACCCCCTGAGGTAGGGTTGGGCCGCAATGCAGAGTTTATAACATATGGATTTTTAGAAAAAATTCTTTAAAATCTTTTTTCTCAAGAACAGCAAAGCCATGTGTAGTCACATTGATATGGAAGTATTTTGAGGTAGTGTAGATTCAAATCTGATCAAATCATGACTTGGGGGGGGGCTACGTCTATTAAAAAAACATGACATCAGGGGGCAGAGTTAGGTCACAACAACTGGAATAGAAGTTTTACATAGGAATATATAATTTGAAAAAATCTGCTGATGAAGAACAGTGCCATATTGACTCAGGTGAGCATTGTGACCCATGGACCTCTTGTTTTTCTGAAAGAAGGGGGGGGGGGGTGTTAAGATGAAATATTTTGAAATTCTTGTAAAATCCAGAAACTGAAGCACTGGGAAACTTTCTTAAATGCAAGTTGAACCGAGCTTCAGAGTGGGATAGTTAAAGGACTTATCGCATGATCTTTCATAAATCGTAATTTTATAAAAAAAATATTATCTACAACCTTGTTTATTAAAATACTGAATACAATAAACATTGTTGAAATAACATTTTGAGAGATATTGAGAGTTGAAATTCAAATACGGCAATATGCATATTTCAGTCAGATTTCAGCAAAATACTGCTCTGACATCATGGGCGACAATTCAGTGATAGAGAGATGAGAATATGCACACTATTTATGGAGTTATCAACGACAAATGCAGATTAATTACGAAAAAATGCTGAAAAAAATTAATTCCTAATGTGCTTTTCATTTACTATAGAAACATTAACTAGTTCTAAGGTATAAGGCTTTCGAGATATTTTCGGTTTTTTTTATTCCAACCATTTCGAGTCTGTAGCTCTGATTACAATAATCTTTCGTGATCGGAAAATTATTTTTCAAGACCGCCATCCTTTACAGAACATATGAAGGCATATATACATGCTTAAATTAATATTATGTTAAAAACGAAGAATAACCAAGTTATATAATATTAAATTTATGAATCAAATAAGCTAATACATGTGATAAAATGACAATTAAATCAAACTGTATTGTGATGGCAAGTTTCTTCATCTTAGCTGTGTCTCCCTAGCTATTGTCACTGCTAATTTTATAACGTTAACAGATTTTTCATATTTTTTCTTGCGGACAATTTTAAATATATAATGTTGGATATTCAATTTCATAAAATCAGTGATTTGGTCATCAACAACGCGGAAATTCAGGTTGTATCGCATATATTTTAGTAAGATTAACGTGAAGAGCTGATCAGCCATTGTCGCCTTTGACGTCACAGGGTCATGTGATCACTATCTAATTAACTTAGATTTTTAATTCAGGGGTTTTCGTTTGAGTCAATAATTGGTTAATTACCGCGGTTTATCCGCAGTAAAAAAAACACAAAATTTATTAACTGTGGTCATAAGGAATGTTTTATGCTTTTAATTTCAAATAATTTGGAAACATGCGATAAGTCCTTTAAGGGCAGATGACACATTTCTCATTAATGTATATTTTTACCTTCAGTAAAGAATAAAAATATGAGCACACCCCTTGATCCAAAAAATAAAACATGCTTTATAATGTTCAGAAACAGTTCTTTCATTATGTAATTGCACATTTTGGATCAAATGTTGTGCTGTACATACAAAATATTGAAAAATAGCTTAATCTTTTGGCCAGTTGAAGAAATTGTCACAATATGGGAATGGTGCATTCATGACATATATTGACTATTGAGAAAATTATGCTTTTTTCAATAGATGTGCAGTCACCAAGGTTCCAAGTGATATTTAATGCGCTGTCAATTAAAACTAAGCAATTTGATTTTTCAGAATTTCACAGGGCCAAAAAAAAGACCTTAAGTGAACCTTGCTCATTGTGTGTTGTCATTGTTGTTGCAGGCTGTCCAGTCCAAAAAAAATCTTAATAGTTTTAGCTCACCTGAGCCTTCGGCTCAAATGGGCTTTTCTGATCAAAAAGTATCCAGTGTCTTCTGTTGCCTGTAAACTTTTTACATTTTTGAGTTCTTCTCAAGAATCACTGGGCCAATTTCAACCTTGCCACAAAGCATACCTGGGTGAAGGGGATTTAAGTTTGTTCACAGGAAGTGGCATGCCTTCTTTCAAGGGGAAATAAATAAGAATTCGTGAAAATTTGGTGTCATATTTAAAAAAAATCTTCCCAGGAACCTCACTGGGCCAAAAATGATGAAACTTGTGTGAGACATACTGTAGATTCAAATTTGTTCATACCATGACCCCTAGGGGTAAGACAGGGGATCAAGTTTTACATAGAAATCTATAGAGAAAATCTTCTCAAGAACAGCAAAGCCATCATTAGTCATATTAAAATCAAGCATATTCAGGTAGTGGAGATTCAAATTCGTTCAAATCATGACCCCTGCGTAGTGCGTATTGTGGGGCCACTATGGGCGATCAAAGTTTCACATAGGAATAAAGAGGAAAATTTTTTTCAAATTCTTCTTCCCAAGAACAGCAAAGCCATGTTTGGAAGCATCTTCAGATAGTATAGGTTCAAGTTCAAATCATGAACCCTTTGGGTAGAGAGGGGACACAATGGGCGATCAAAGTTTTACATATGAATACATGGGAAAACTTCAAAAAATCTTCTGCTCAAGAACAGCAAAGTCAAGATAAGTCATATTTATATATGGAAGCATCTTTTGGTAGTGTAGATTTGTTTTTTTTCAGATCATGACCCCCAGGGGTAGAGTGGGCAACAATTTGTGATCTAAGTTTTATGTAGAAATACAGTTGAACTTCGATATCTCGAACACTGATATCTTAAATACCATGGATATGTCGAAGTGATTTGGAAGTCCCAACCCCTTATTCTTTAAGTATTTTACTCTAGATATCTTGAATCCTCATATATCTCAAAGTTTTTTCTTAGTCCCATTGAGTTTGAGGTAATGAGGTTTGACTGTATTTGGCAAAAAAATCTGCTGATGAAGAACAGAAGGGTCATAGTGACTCAGGTGATTGTTGTGGCCCATGGACCTCTTGTTTTCTAGAACATTGATGCATCAAACACCAATTAATTAAATGGAATCATTCTCAAATGCACTTTAGCAATTGCACATGCATTCTTTGGAATTAATTCTATCATGCATCATGCTAGTTGATATTGAAGAGAGCTCCTGAATATAGCACTCATATCAATGTAGTCTTTGAACATGACAGGTGTTGCCTCTGTTAATCATTTGTATTATTAAATTAAAACAGGATAAATGTGGTTTGTTCTAATTCTTGATTTCATTGTTTAATAATAATTAATGCTATCAGAAAAAAATATCAAATTGCAAAGCTATAAAGCTTTAATTAGTTATTAGTACTTCAATGATATGTCTAGGTGGGCTAATTACTTATAAATGTACTAAATAAACTCCTTATTAGCAGTAGAAATGAAGCATGATGAACTTTATGACTCTACAAACCACTAATTGAATTTTAGAGAATGAGGATGACTTAGAACCAGAGAGAGATAAGTATTCAGTGTATTTTTGTGTTTGTATGTACATTTATTTTAATCAAGTCTAAATGTAAAGGCCATACTGGTTTCCACTAGTTTTTGCAGCAGTTGAATCATCAGAGAGATTTGTATGCCTTGCATGTCCGCAGTATTACTGGTAGCATAATTTTAGCCATGGCTAATTTACAACACTAATTTTATTAAAGAAGCAAGTCATGATCAAGTTTTTATTTTCATGTTGTTATTTTTTTTTTTTTTAACTGAAGAGATGTATTTTTACACACATTTTAGTTAAATGGGGAATGATGTGTTTTTTCTTAATCTAGTTGTTTTTGGTACATTCTGTGTGTAAACATTTCTTACAGTTATTGGATTTTATACCTTTCTATCCAGCTTTATGATTAATTTAGGAAATGAAATTTATGTGGAAAATGCGATTCATTTTTTTTAAAGTGTGTACAGTTTCCATAGATTTTGGAGCTTAAGATGACAGTTACTTGCAGAACCTGGAGTGATTTAGAATAACAAATTTACTGGCTTTGTGTCCTCCATAAACATTAGTTGTATTTCATAAACTGAATTAGATTTAGATTGAATGTTTTCCTACACAAGCAACTTGTGTGATTCACATAGAACCCCAGAAGACCTGTATGATTTAGATAGAAAATAACAGGGATTGTGATAAAAGCTGACAAAGATAATCAAGTCAAAGACAATATCGATTCTCCAGTTTATGACTGGAATTCAATTTATTTTCATTCCCTTATATAATTTGCCTTGCCATTAGATGGCTACAAAATAAATGGAATAATTTTTTTTGGTTCATACGGGGGAAAACTTTCAATTTTATAAAGCAAATTAAACTTTCATTAAAACTGGAATGTTTGATGTGATATTCACTGTCACCATAATGCTTGGTTACTAGGGAGACGTGAGTCTGAGGCCCAGCAAGAAGAGGAGCACTTGTCAGAATTGGCCAAACCACGTCTAGGCGATATCAAGACTCTCTGTGTACACATCCAGGAAAGCTACGAGTTCAAGGTCAGGTATTTTATTGATAGATACAAAGAGTGATTAACAAATTCAGTAAAGACCCAGATATAAATGGACAAGCTGTAATTAGTGACATGGGTTTGTATCAAGTGAGGATTGCCTGACAGTTCAAGACAATTTTAATTCAGAAAATAATTGGCCACACCACACTACTCAAAAGACATTTGATCTTTTTAGCTCACCTGAGCTGATAGCTCAAGTAAGCGATCCTGATCACCTTTTGTCCATCCGTCCATCTGTTAACTTTTCACATTTTCAACTTCTTCTCAAGAACCACTGGACCAATTTTAACCAAAATTGGTACAAAGCATCACTGGGTGAAGGGAAGTTTAAATTAATAAAATAAAGGGCCAAGTCCCCTTACAAGGGGAGATAATTAAGAAAAGACAAAAATAGGGTGTGGTCATTAAAAAATATGCTCAAGAACCACTGGACCAGAAAAGCTGAAACTTACGTGGAAGCATCCTGGAGTATTGTACAATCTAAATTGTTCAAATCATGACCCCCGGGGTAGGGTGGGGTCACAATAAGGAATCCAAGTTTTACATTGAAATATATAGAAAAAAATCTTCTACTCAAGAACCACTGGGCCTGAAAAGCTTAAATTTATGTGTAAGTATCCTGGGATACTATAGATTCTAAATTGTTCAAATCATGACCCCCAGGGATAGGGTGGGGCCACAATAGGTATTACAAGGAGGAAAATCTGATGCAGAACAGCAGAGCCAAAGTTACTCAGGTGAGCGTTGTGGCCCATGGGCATCTTGTTCTCTAAAATTCTGCAATATAACACCATATATAGCATCTTTACTGGAAATGTCAGTTGACAGCAAACCAAATGCCGACAAAACAGCTCAATTAAAAAAATAATTGGTGAACAGCAGAGAGGAAAGTATTTTCAGCAAATGTAAATCACATGACACTGGAACCATAATTAAACATGCTTACTCCTTCAGCATTGTATTCAAACTTGCTATATTTTTTCTAATAATTATTATTTTTCTCCAATAAAGGCAGTTCATCTTGCCATACAGAATTTGATGTTGAATGTCTTGAGGTTGTCTTATTTACAGAATGTGGTAGACAAATTGTTAAAGAAGGCCAATGTCTCTCTAGTTGTGGGTACCTCCTCCTGGAGGGAACAGTTCCTTGAGGCCATTACTGTCAGTGCAGGTAGGTCAAGCATGCCCAGACAACTGTCTGAGATAAAGCATTGGAAAGTCCCCTACCCTGTCCCTCCCCAATTTTTAAGTTTTTAAGTTTGAATTCTTCCAAAGATTAATATTGAATAGAAAACGGTTGCAAAATATCATCCTAGATATTTATGAAGCAGCCTTTGGTTGAACTTGAAATGGTGCGTATTATGATTTTTTTCCTTGAAGTTCATTTTTTTACAGTGAAATTTAGACAAATGTTGCTTTATATACCGGTACCTTTTTTTTGGAGATAGTTCAAAATGTTTCAGTTGCTCCTTTGTCCTTAAACCTTTAATTGACTGCCAGATGTATGTCTGTTATGCCAAGTACATGAATCTAAATTTAGATTCTCATCCTAATGTGCTTAAATTTGGGGCGGGCTGATTTTTTTCATTTTTTATCATTGAAAAATATCTAAATAAAAAATTCTGATGATACAAAATTTTCACATTGTCAATGCCAATATGAATAGATTTTTTATTGTTAATTCTTTTAAATATCTACAGAAGATTCTTCTTATTAAAAATATTCACAATGTTAATGATTTTACAAGTATACATGCATGTATAGCACATGTCACACTGACACAACTGCTGCTTTGAAATGGGGTGTGGATCCCAGTAAATTGCACATGCTTTTGCTGTATGTGGCAGTCACCACTTCTCATTGGCCTTTCTCCAAATACCTTTGAGTTTGACAAACAACTTCAATTCATTTGTATGAAAATATCAGATTTCCACTGTCCTCAGCTACATGATAACATCCATTTTTTTGTTTTTGACATGTTCAATATTTTCAAAATTTTGCAAAGCAGGGTGTCTAAAATATTCTGTAGGAAAGCCTATGCTGAACAGTTCTAAGATTTACCATTTCCTTAGAACTATTATCCTCTAAAACCTGCCAAAAAGCTTTTTCAATACAACTGTATGAAATATACAACTGTCATTTGCTACGAGATGTTGTATTGTTCTGCTATACTTTTACTTGCTGATGGTATTTATTAGTATCAATACTTATTATAACTGTTATTTTTGCTTTTTCTGCCTTCTCCATACTGGCATATTTTCCCTACATATAAACAGCTCATCTCCCTTCTCCACATATTCATGCTATAAATAGTAACATGCAACTTTTAGTACAAATGGGGAGTAACATTTTAACTTTGATAGTGGTCAATGCCAACTGCTTTTGAAGAACCACTGGACCATAAAAATGAAACTTTTGCAAAAGATTTCCAGCATAGTGTAGATTCTAGTATGTTCAGATAATGACCCCTGGAGGTAGGGCGGGGTCACAAAAGGGATCAAAGTTGGGAGGGTCCACAATGGGTGATCAAAGTTTAACAAAGGAATATATAAAGGAGAAAAAAAATCTGCTGATGTAGAACAGAATGGGGATTAATGACTCATGTGAGTTGTGGCCTACGCGTCTTGTTGTTGAGTTAAATGTAATAAATACTTTTGGAAAAAAAAACAAATAAAAAACACTTGAAGAGGGGTAGGTGGGGATGAGAATCTAAAATTTAATTTTTATCTGGCCTTAACCTTTGTGTATGATAATTTCATTGTTGCAGTGTGTTGACTGACTTGTTATTTGCTTTACATTTGCCTGCAGACAAAGAATCAGGTAATGTTTTGTGTCCATGAGATGGTCTGTCTGTCTGTCAGTGTGTCTAACCATTCTACCATAGGCTCTAACCACTGTGTGCATTTAAGTAGAGTTTTTATGTTCTAACAAACCACTTGTGCTTCAGTGCTGTTTGGTAGCTCATATATTCTGTCTTCGTTCTTTATAACTGTGATTATGTTAGATTCCTATCAAAGCAGTTCATAAATCTGGAGAGTGGAGATATTAGATATAAACTCCAAGTGTCAAGAACTGAGCTTTGGTGGTTGGGTGTACAACAAACAGTAATTACATGCAGTATGTTAGAGATTATTGTTGTAGAGTATTATTAAATCCAAAATTGATATATATATATATATACCCTTGGATGACTATGTGTTGATCAAAGTTCATTTGTTTTTAAAGTAACAATATTTACCTCATCTCCCGTCCCCAGTTTGGTCATTATATTTCAATTATGAATTATGAGTCTTTTAATTCTTAATTCCAAGGTTAAGATATTATTCCATGAAATATTTAAAACTTCCTTGTCCTTTTACTGAATAGGGGGGAGGGTCAGTATATAAACTTCAAAAAATTGATTTCCTTGATCTTCTTACAGTATTTGTTTGTTTTTGAAAAATGGTAACAAATCCACAACATATTGATACCCTTGCTGTCCCCACAGAAAAAGGTTTATTTCATCCATTGTCATTGCTTAGAAGGTGGTCACAATGTTAAAATGGCCATGAGTATTGATCCCCCTCCAACACTGAAACTTTGGAGGAGGGTCAATATTCCATATTGAGGTGAAATCCCCTTCCCAACATTATATCTGATAGGAAAATCTAGGTTCAATATTTTCCAGCTTAATGTCCTGAACTCATCTTAGTATTACTCTTTTGGGTTGGGGAGGAGAGGAGGGGTGTCAACATCATTTCAGACGTATCAAGGATAGACATCACAAAAAAAACTTATTCTGTATTTGAAGAAAGAATTTTTAACACAAAGGAATTAAGAAATCCAGAATGATTGAAGCAAATATAAACGGTACACCAGCTGCTTGGGGGGGGGGGGGGGGGGGGGGTAGTTTTTGTTGAGTGAAGAAAAAAAAAAATTTTTAAAGAAAAACATGATTTTTTTTTTTTAAATATTAATTTATTTATAAGTATGTATGAATCTCTGTGCAGAAGTTTGGGGATAAAAATGTTACACTTTTCCATAATCAGAAATGCTCTTCAATATAATATCTAAGCTTCATAAAAATTCAACTACTTCTAAAACTTGTTTATACTCTTTCATTTGTTAAAGGGTTTTTATCATGTATCTAAATTTCTTAAAAATGAAACACTATTATATTCCTGAAACATATAATTATCGTTTAATTATGAAATATTGTTGAAAATTAGATGATAAAATGGTCGTAATATTGGGTCCTCGAAGTAAAAATCTCCACTAATTAGATAGGGGTCACGTGGTACTGAAACATCATAGGTGTCAATGGTCAATAGAACTCGTAAAGCTTATCATAAGAACAAAATATAGTGAATAGATTTTTACGCTAAATAAATAGAATACACAATACGGTCGGTTGAAATTTTGACATCGACTATATTCCTTTGGTTATGGACGGTCAATCTTTTATGTATGAACATCTAGCAGAGAGAAATAACCAGAAAATATGCCGAAAATTACAGAGGTCACCGAAGACGAAGCCGTTGACAACTCAGATAGATAGGACGAATTACTAAAGTTTAACTTCGTAAACATTTATAAATATGGGAATTTTAAATTCCCCTTCATTAGTATTTTAATTAATTATTTTAGGAATGACTCTTATTCTTGGCCAAATTATTCGAGTATAACCTGGTTTGGGTCAGTTTACGCTTTATAATCCGCGAAGCGGATTATAAAACAGCGTAAACTGACCCAAACCAGTTTATACTCGAATAATTTGGCCAAGAATTAGAGTCATTCCTTATAATTTAATTTTAAAATCATTAAATAACTATGGGTGTAAAATTTCGTTGCTTTTTATCAGTTCAAATTTGCCGCTCAATAATACAACCGTAGTAATGGAAGTTCTGGAAGTGATGGGAAGCAAGGGGAGGTAAAAACTGATACATAGGCCTAGCAGCCTTGTTGTTTGTTTACATGTGGTAAGATTGAATTATTGTTTGGTACATTTATTAAATCTGGAATTTTCCATGAATCCCGAGGACTGGAAATGAGAGGATTGTATGGATACAGATGATTCAGCTGGTTGTCAGGGGGGGGTGTCCCCATACCAAACCAGGTTATACAGAAATAATTTGTGTTCCTTTTTTGGATATTAACCAATCAGAGGCTAGAATACAAACAAAATTAAATTATATATAAATAAATCCTGTATATCTTCTATCTGTTCCAGCAGTGAATATCACGTACTAGAAATGACACTTTTTCAATGGCGCCGTACGCCGTTACGAAGTTCACAACATTCCTACTAGATTCAGTGCGACTTTTAAAAAAATGTGTGTTTTCATTTATTATTTTTTAAAGGTATCTTTCTTTAAAATATTTTACAGGACAGAAAAAAAAATCGTGATTGATAAATGATAGTTCTGAATGAAGATAAACGCCATCGCATTTGCAGAAAAAGGCCCCCCTTTCATCAGTGTTCATCTTTCGACAAAGTCCAGGAAATGTGGAAAAAAATTCTTCCTGAAACCTTTCTTGTGCACATTTGTGCATCCTAAAGCCTAAATTATATGTTACTAACTATCAATTATTTAATTATCTCTTAATTATTTTCTAACAGGTTTAATAGACACAACAAATGAGCCCTTTTGTTTATACAATAAGTACTTCGCTTGACCAGGATTGACACCTATGACGTCAGAGCAATGGCGCGTAACACCAGCGATCAAAATATGCATACTGAGAAATTCAAACTTTGAATCGCTGAAACATCAAAAATATTAATTTTCTTACAAAGTTTTTTACATATATGTTTTTAATAGCATGTTAACTTTGTCATATCCAAAAATTTTGAGACGTGATAAAAACCCTTTAATATTTGTTACACTTGTCTATAAGTAGCTTTTGATAAAAATTCACGTACTCGTAGACTGAAAATAAATAAAATAATACAGTGATAATCTAATATCTTTGTAATGTGATTGAATATATATAGGATCTCACATGATTTGTGGTTGGATATGATTTTTATCCAACGAGTTGTGTGGGTTTTTTTCTATCCCCAAGCCTTGGCGAGGGGATAAAAAACACACAAGTTGGATAAAAATTATATCCATCCACAAATCATGGGAGATTCTTTTTATCACATGTTTTATACATCACTATCAATGTTTTACACTGTTTTCAAATATG